AACAACATTGGATATACAAAAATATATATAACTAGCGTCCCACCCTCGCTTCGCTCGGGTTGGTCCCTATGTACATTTTGACGCTTAGTACGGAATAGATACTATATATACATGGGTATAATGAAATCTCTTACTTGAAAAATGATTGATTCCCCATTCCACTCCCCTTTTCACCTCCTTAAGGAATGTTTTCCAGGATAAAAACTATCCTATGTCCTTCCCAGTGTCTTAAACTATTTCTATTCATCTAAATCGGTCCTGCGGATTACGCATGAAAATGTAACAGACAGACAGAGTTCCTTATGTATTTATAGTATTAGTATGAGTTGAAATATTGTATGTAGAGTCATGATCAATTAGGAAGTATTATTTTATAGAAAAAATATATTTATTGCTCTAAAACAATAAATGAAGTGTATATCAAAGTAGAATCACATCACTCTTTGAAATTTAACAATACAGTTATAAAAAAATCTTTAGTCAACAATAAATTAAGCAACACATCAAAGGGGTAATCGTTAAAAAATTTACAAAAAGACCATACTCCAGAGACAATAATAAGAAATAATAAGTCATGCGAGGGCGCATAGCTTGCCACGAGCTGGATCGTTAGAGGCTGGAGGCCCGCGCGGCATTTCGCACAGCAAATTCCTTTAGAACTCGTGACTTTCGCGATTTTTGACACTAAATTAATTATTAATAATTTACATCACTTAAACTGCCCAAAAATCATCTACGCTGGATCCAAAATCTATATAATAAAATAGGCAAATAAAAATGAGTTCCATTATCTTATTCTATTGACGAGCTTTAATATTACCAATACATTTTTTTAAGAACAGTTACTTTTTTTTAATATAGAATAGGTAAATTTTATTTTATTCATAAGGCAGTGAAGCGGGTTCAAATCCCAGGTCTCGCACTTCTGATATTTTCATGTGCGAATCATTTCTAACATGATTACCACTTGCCTTGCGGTGAAGGAAAACATCGTGAGGAAACCTGCGTGTCTGAGAGAACATAGCAAATTTTCGAAAGACATGTGAAGTCCGCCAACCCGCACTTGGCCAGCGTGGTGGACTATGGCCTGATCCCCCTCATATTGAAGGGAGGCCCGTGCCCAGTGATGTGACGTTAAAAAAAAGGGCTGAATAAAAAAAAATATTCATAAATGTTTATATCAAATTTTCAATATTAATTATTGTTGAATTTCGGCCAGTAGACGAACTTTAGTTATTATTCCGCGGTTTTCCTTACTACAAATATACTTTAGACATAAGCTTGATCACTACATCACTACATATTTATAAAATAAAGTCCACCACCGCGTCTGTCTGTATGCCTGAACGCGATAGACTCAAAAACTACCAAACGGATTTTCATACGGTTTTCACAAATAGATGGAGTGATTTATACACCCAAACGGTATATAATACATTAAGGTTTTGTGTAAATTAGTTGAAATATGATGATGATCGCTGAAGATGTCGGAAAAATAATAAAGTTAGATGAAAACAATTTATCACAGAATTTTTTCAATTAAATTATTAATTATTACAATATATGTCAAATTCCTATCTCTATTGAGGAGAATTTGAGATAGATTATTAAGCTTACCCGTTAGAGTACTCCTTACCCGGAAAGACTAAGAGCATACTTTGTTACTTCTATGATTGAAAACAATTTTAAGCCCACATTAATAAAGATTTAAATAAAAGGCACATTTTATTTTCTGGTTCAATAAATATCCTACGCTTTAATTTTGGTCCAATATTTTCGGGAACAAAATCGGTAATTTTAATATCAACGTACCATGTACTTATAATTTGGACTTCATAAAAATTTTAGTACATTTAATTATTTTCATGTTTATAAGAAACATAATCAATGTATTTATTTTTAATCTTGGGTCAAAAACAGGGCATGATATTAAAATAAATACTTTTTAATTAAATATTCTTTAAGTAAAAATTTAATTTAATTTGTTTATGGTCATATCAATTCATTAATTAGATAACTACTAAGTTTACTCACATTTATATTTAAAGGTTTTATAATTAACATTTAAGATAATATGTTATTAATAATTAAAAGTCAAAAGGATATTTAAAATTAAGCTTTTACTGTCTTTCTGAAAATTTGGCCATTTTTAGAGATCATCTATATTTAATACTTGAGATATTCAAAATTTTGACTATCGGATCCGGGTTTGTCACTTTTTAATATATATAAATAAAATAATGGCTAGAAATATATGGAATCGTGTCCATATGCATCTAAATTAAATTTTCATGCTGACTTTTCCACCTTTACCATTTAAATATTGAATGTGATCATATAAATATATTATTATTTGCTTAATCATAAAATAATCAATGATAAGACAGGAGTATCAGGTGTAGTGCTTTGAACACCTCTGGATTACTTATAGAAATAAAGACAATATTTGGAGCCGCGGAATTTTCCTTTGCGTTTATTTGTCCTTAATTTGTTTAGAAAAATACTCAACCTTTAAGAATAAAATTATACATAATTTTTGTCATAGTTCACTTAAAAAAACACTGCAAAAATAAATAGAAAAACATTATTTAAAAATATGATACACATTTATTATTTTAAATATGTGGTATCAATTGGGTACGAGATTTTAAAGTAAAAATGATAAAATTTCTAAGCCGCTTATAAACACTTTATCTCTAAATACCTTAGAACTAGGCGTTTTTGACTCACCCTCGTTTCACTCGGATTTGTCCCTATGTATATAATAATATATTATAGTTTTACAATAATGTATGAAAATTTGCCCGATTTGTTGACATTTATGAATTCTGCTCCGCTATCTTGGTTTGTAGCATTAAGATATATAGCACATAGCCTTCCTCAATAAACGATCTACTTAATGAAAAAAATCAAATCGGATTAGTAGTTCCTTAGCTTAGCGCATTGAAACAAACAAACTATGTCTCTTTATAATATTAAGTATAGATAAATGTAAGAAAGATTAAATAGTGCTTTACTCAAAGCAGCTGTTATATAAACTTATTTTTTTTATTAATACTAAAATCAAAAACGATTTAAAAGCTTAGAATGGAAATACTACTTATTAGTAGTTTTATATTGCATTTTAGCACTAATCATGTTAAATAGCACAAGTTTTCTTAAAATATATACATATATATAAAAATAACCTCTATTTCAAAACAATAATACTAAATATATATACGTTTTTTATGTATATATAATAATAAATTTTAAACTCCAAACGTAGATAATATCCCTTTTATTTTCGAGTAAACGAGATAACGGTTTGATTATAAAATATCTTTGGTACTAAAATTAAAACTTCTGATCTCGTATACTAATATGTTTGGAGTGATCAAATTTGCTTCATAAAAATACAACTTTATTGCGCGGGCGCCGATTAACAAGAAAACGCTTATTTAATGATAACATGTTGCGCTCTCCTTATCGGCTTCCATTTATCTTATGTAATGTAAATTGTAATTAAAGTTTTGTGTAGATAAACTTAGGTTTTTTGTGCATTTTTAATGTTTATGAAAAATAAGTACGAATTTGTATGCCAAAAATTATTATTACTAATAAAATTCTTTTTTTCTCACCACAAACAAATTAGCACACACATTAATATTAGAGATCTCAGTTTAGCATAAGCTGGTTGTTACAACAATTGATATTAATAAGGCTTTTATATACCTTTTCGGTTTCTTTTATACAAAAATTTTACATCTATCTATATGTATAAGTATAGTAAAATTTTGAATCGAATCTGTACATTTAATATTTAAAAAAATCTTATTGAAATAGTCATTATCATCGATACAGAAGCTGAATCCATCGTTTTTAAAACTTCTGTCTGGGGACGCATCACAAGAAAACCCCTGGACAGATTTTGATGTAACTTGGTATGACGATAGCTGGTTATTGGGATCGACATATAGAGTATTTTTTACTGCGGGAAAATATCTGAACAATTCATACTAAAAGTATCTTTTCTGATTTTTTCGTGAATTTATTCTAATTTTCCGACGTTTCGGATGCTTTACAGCAATCATGGTCACTGGAGGTCTCTCCTGATAGAAAATATAGTTTTGTTTAAAATTTTCTACTTGTTTAGATTATAATTAACTTATATAGATATATAATTAACTTAACGTTTACATTTAACATGTACCAATCTTCAAGTGGATTTAACTAAGGGGAAATCGAATCTGTAATCTTTGTAGGTTTACGTACATACTTCAGTTCAACACATGCCACATTGCACCCCTAGTTCTTTTTTCTGCTGTAGAAATCAACAACTTTTACTTATATTAATAGATTGTATTGTTGTATTTTTTATATTTTAAATAATGTTACTTTCACTTATGTTGATATATCAGTGCATTATAAATACATAACATTATAAAACACTAGATGTTATATCTAAGAGTATATTACGATCGTGCTTCTATCACGCCTGATGTGCATCACGCACGTTCAATGCAAGAATTACGAGTTTTTATCACGCACCCAAATTAAAATTTACATTAATTTGTGGAGAAAGTAAATTCTTTGTGCAAGTTAAGTCACCTTTCACTTAAACTTGGCTTTTACCTACGCTCCAATTACTATGTGGAAAATATGACAGTGCGCGGGCTGTGACTTTTTTAATTAAAATTTAATTAGTTGTCACAGGTTCGATTTTCGCTATACAATGTATGAACTAATGGTAATCTATGAGCATCCTGAAAGTACGTAGCTCGTCCGTATAATTTATCCAATTGTATATAATTAGCATATTCATTATCCATACGAACAGTCTCTACGAAAACAAATCTGATCATGTTAATTATAATCTTTAAATTACTACACCGCTAGCGCAGGATTAACGAAAAATATTCACACAGAGTTATTGCTTGATACCGTATGTACTTACATGTAATTTCTAAATTTCAGGTTTCCAGTGACAATGTGTGACCGGTGAGAAATAATCCTGCGCGATGTTGCGCGCAACACTCTTCTTGCTTGTCGCTTCGACAGCGGCAGAGCATGTCCGCGAGTTCAGCGTCAGAGAAAATGCACGCGCCGGCACTCTCGTCGGTCACCTCGGTGATGAATTACCAGATGCCGCACCACCTTATACGATAGTGCCAGTTCCAGGCAGTGCAGTCAATGATGACCTCAAAATAGATCCCCACACGGGAGAAATAAGGACTAGAGTGCCTCTAGACAGAGAGAATAGGGATCATTATGCGCTTGTTGCTATCCCTGCCAGTGGGGATAACGTCCGCGTTGTTGTTCGCGTGTCTGATGAAAACGACAATGCTCCCACCTTCCCTTCCCCAGTTATGAATGTTGAGTTTTCGGAGAATACTCCTAGAGACGTTAAAAGAAAGCTCAATCCAGCCAAAGATCGTGATTTAGGAGTATTTAACACGCAGAGGTATAATATTGTATCCGGAAATACGGATAACGCGTTTAGATTATCCTCTCATAGAGAGCGCGATGGTGTTCTTTATTTAGATCTTCAAATTAATGGCTTTCTTGATAGAGAGACCACTGACCACTATGAATTGGTCATAGAAGCGCTAGATGGTGGGACTCCGCCTTTAAGAGGGACCATGACTGTAAATATTACCATATTAGATGTAAATGATAATCCACCTGTGTTTGCTGAAAGTGCATATTCAGCTATGATACCGGAAAATGCCACAGTTGGCACAGCTGTATTGAAAGTTTTCGCAATAGATTCAGATGCTGGTGACAATGGACTGATAGAATACTCGATAAATAGACGGCAGAGTGATAAAGAGAATATGTTTAAGATAGATCCTAATACGGGAGAGATAACTGTGAACAAGGCTTTAGATTTCGAGACCAAAGAATTGCATGAATTGGTTGTGGTGGCTAGAGACAAAGGTGCTCAACCTCTAGAAACAACTGCATTTGTTTCCATCCGGGTAACCGATGTTAATGATAACCAACCAACAATTGATGTCATTTTTCTGAGCGATGACGCCACGCCTAAAATATCAGAATCTGCACAGCTTGATGAATTTGTAGCGAGAATATCAGTCCATGATCCTGATTCAAAAACAGAATACGCAAATGTAAATGTTACGTTAAGTGGTGGTGACGGTCATTTCGATTTGCGGACGCACGATAACATAATATATTTAGTTGTAGTAGCTTTACCCTTAGACAGAGAGTCCCAATCCTCTTATACTTTGAATGTAGTCGCAACCGATAAAGGTTCCCCTCCCTTGCATGCATCGCGAATTATTAGTCTCCGCGTTACTGATGTAAACGATAACCCTCCAACTTTCTTAGAAAGTGAATATAAAACTAGTGTCCCTGAAGCCGCCCCACCCGGTACACCTGTCCTTCAAGTATCCGCCAGCGATGCGGATGAAGGAGAAAATTCCGAAATTAGATATACTTTACTTCCAACACCGCAATCAGATTGGTTCTCAATAGATGAGCGTTCCGGTCTAGTAACAACGCGGGCTCGTGTTGATTGTGAAACAAATCCTATGCCGAGGTTAACAGTGGTCGCAAGTGATCGTGGTACTCCTCCTCTATCCTCCACAGCCACGTTACTAGTGACAGTGTTAGATGTGAATGATAATGAGCCGATCTTCGACCAGTCCTTCTACAACGTGACAGTCTCCGAGAATGAAGCCGTCGGCAGCTGCATTTTAAAGGTGAGTTATATAGTTGAAATATTGCAAAAGATTAATATCTTTCATATTTCCCTTTCTTCTTAATAAAGACTGTCAAATATTACAATTTTGACCGGTTTTTGAGTTAGTTAACTTACATTGTAAGCGCCATCGATGGACGGCAATTAAAAATTTAAAAATTCCGTTTTATTAAAACTTTTATTGTGGATTTGGTTCGATATATTATCTAATTTATAGCATATTTGAAATCATCGAGTACCATTACCCCGCTTTCCGCTAGCTTTGATGTACGCCGGTGCTAGAAATCAACATCCCGTCGGTATCGTAAACCATAGTGTTGAGTAAAAGTAACGTATGGCGTGACTACTGATAATTTGCTATTTTTGATTAAATTGCTGCTTACTGAAAATGTCAGCATCTCCAAATGTCAGAGTTGATTGCGCCACGAGCGATACTGTCAGTGTTGACGGCTTTATAGTTAAACTTTGTTACAAATGTCTTGGAAACCGATTCGGCTATTCGTTCACATAATCTAAAATTAAAAATCGTACCACGCAAAAATAAATTTATATTTATTTTAGTTATTAAAAGTATAAAATATTCGCAGGCCGTTAAATTACGATACGAGCCTCCATCACTGAGCGAACGCACAATTAGTCATTGAGACAGATCAATCCCTTTATCTCTCCTCCCTGCGAATTTGTTAAAAAACGTCGCAATTTTCATTAAAGCTTATCGGTGGGATCCGGCGCAGGCGCATAACTTATACCAGTTAATTCGTTTTAATATATACCACGTGAAGTACATAGGCATAAGTGGGCATAAATCTAGTGGCCAAGTTTGGGTGCGGAGCTCGCATCGCAAATTACGATCTAAATTGAAAATTAAACAGAGCTCGATGGGTATGTGCTCGATCCATCGCACCAGCCAACGAAACGTGTTCTCCATGCGTAATCACTAATATATTTTTAGATAAAGAAATTTATATTATCAGTAAAGTAAAAAACTTATAGATAGAGCGTTAAGGGTTAAAATACAAGTATAATATTTAGTACAGTGTTGACTATTAAAATGCTAATTTCGTTTAATTAAAGTGAACTTGCTGTAGCCAAGGTAAGGAGGTTTTGCAAATCTCATTATATGTACATATATATGGTTTTTTGTCGGTGTCTTTATACCTAATTATTAGGTTGAATTATAATTGGTAGTAATAATAATTTCAAGAATATATTAAAATCTAGACGGATATCATACAATTTTAATTTTGTTATTAGACCTTAGTGTGAACTGGTTACTGTCTAAATGTATTTTATTTACAAGGGAATCTCTATAATAATTCTAGCTTTATGTGTGTAGTTTAGTCGAATGAAAAGCTGTTTCTCTATCTTGTGAAAAGAAAATAGCCATGTTTTCTCTAAATTATTTTTCAATTCTCCTTTTTAGATACTTAAGAAGTTTAAAAATTTCTTCAATAAATATCTATATAGTTGAAATCTATTATAATACGGCCTCAGATATACTCAGGCATATATTAGGGCATGTGCACACGACGACTTTAACGTGCTGTTGAAGCTTGTTACGCGTTTGTATTTTTTAAGTTTATCAGCGTAGAGTACGCACAGACGATGCGCGTTCATGATACGCGCGTTTTTGGAGCGATTAAAAAATGCGGTCTGCACAGGTCCTTAATAGTACTTGTTTTATTACAAAAACGAAATGTTTAATCCGACTGTTGTTGGCCTGCGTTCAATATGTACGTGATCTGTATCGGGATTTTCGCTTCATTATCATAGTGATTGATGTAATTCTATTAGTTGAACGGTAAATGTTAACTTGCATTTATTACAAATTTCCGTACGGAACGTCCCTATGTATGTTCAAATTTTTTTGAGTGGAACTCTTATGCTTGTTCGAAAATAAAAGTAGCCTATGTTATTCCTTATAACAGCTATCTGTCAGCGAATCCCGTCAAAATCAGTCTATCCGTTTCGTAGATTAGCCGGAACAAATAAATAGAATGACAGACAAACAGATAAACAAAAATTTAAAAAATATGTGTTTTTTATACATCTCGTATTTAGCAATAAGCTGATATTTTGACATTACAGACAGACACTTCAATTTTATTTACCTGAGTCAAAGATATTTAGTCTCGAGCCCGTGATCTTTAAAACAAACTAAATAAAATTTTAAATAAAACTATCTTTTCGGATTTTGTCGCGGATTTATTTGTATTTTGGGGAAATATAAATACAAATAAATCCGCGACAAAATCCGAAAAGATAGTTTTATTTAAAATGTCAAATATTCGCGTAAATCTAAGAAAGTATTATGGAAACTAAATAAAATTTCAAATACAAACGTTTTAACGCATACCTATTTCTTAAAGTATTAGAGGGTTTACAATGCAGATAGAATCTTAGATATGTGCTCCTATTACAGATCGGATTTGGCTAATGTATTCGATTGTTAGGTTTAGGCCCAGCAAACGGTGACAACCGCATTTACTGCTTACTAAAAACGGTTTATTTATAGATGCGAATACAATAAAGCGTACAAATATATGGATGCTGTGGACTAAGATGATAGTTAAATAACAAAAGTATGGAAATAACTTTCTTTATATATACGAGCTTTTGACTGCAGCTTTTGCTTTTTGTGCTTCATAAACACTCAATATATGTTGCTAGCTGGATAAAATATTTTAAATAAAATATTTACATAATATATGTTTTTTAATAGTCAATTGGATTACTATAAAAGAACACTCTTATGGAATGTACTTATATGGTGTTCCTATAATAATAATCTTATTTTTCCATTCAATTCAATTTTTTTATTAATGGCTTCAAAGCGTGGCAGGTGAACATAGATTACTTCGCCAATGTCACGTAGAATGGAGAAGATACGAAGAAGATTGGTCTGTAAATTCTTCCGACTAAAGTTTTTCTCATTCTATGTGACATAAGCGTAGTCAAATGACATGAACTCAATTGATGTGTTTGAAGCAGTAGTATTATATTATCAAAACTAGCGGCTCCGCCCGCTTTCACATGATCAAACACCAGATTCTTAGGTTTTACATATTAGTATACTCTTACAGTACAGTTTTTGTATTTTTTCTCAGAAATGAGATATTTTTTCGCGGTAAAAAGTATCCTATATGTTGAGCCGGATAACCAGCTATCACCATACCAAATTTCATAAAAATCCCTCCAGTAGTTTTTCTGAGATGCGGTAACAGATAGACAGACAGGTAGACAGATAGGTAGATAGACAAAAATAAAAATTCTAAAAACTATAGATTCGGCGTCTGTATCGATAATAATGTTTATTTCAATAAGATTTTCCAAAAATATTTAATGTACAGATTCGGCTTAGTTAGAGTTAGAAGGAAAGTATATTAACTTTTTTTTTTGATATTGTGTAAGTAAAATTAGAGAGCATAAGAAAGAGATAGAGAAAGGTAGAGCATGACTTTTGAAATATAAGAGTTATCATTTTTCTTTATAAATGTGAATCTAATAATATTAAATTATAGATGAAGTGACTATATAATGCGGCCGCGTATTCATTACACAGTTATATTAGCTGTAACATATGTTTAGATAACATCTTAATTTATTCATCTAGCATCCGTAAAGCTTTTATTGTTCCGTGGTCTATTGAACTGTGTTATACAATAATACTATGAACGTATTAACTACATGCCTTCGTTTCCTTATCATACTAAGACTTGCAAAAATGTGTGTGTGAGTTTGTGACTTTATAACTCTTTCAACGTAGTTAAGTGAAATGTAAATAGCCTACATCAAGAATTAATATATACATATACTACTTTTTGACAATAAATTAGTAAACATTTAACACCCACAGGTAAATTTCTAAGAAATTAATTAAATTTCAAAGAAATCTATTGTTAACTGTAACGCCGGCGTGTCCGCGGTCGTTGAGGGATATGTTCTTTCTCTATATTAAAGATCTTAAGATACTTTTTTATCTTGATTGTCTGAAGCTTTTCTAATATATACGCTTTGTATGGAATAAATAGACTATATATAGGTACATAGGTATGATGAGTTTGATATCCCTTACTTGAGAAATGATTGATTCCCCATACAAAGTTTCATCCCTCTTTTAGGGATGATTTCCGGGATAAAAACTATCCTATGTCCTTTCCAGGGTCTCAAACCATCTCCATACCAAATTATATCTAAATCGGTTTAGCGGATTAAGCATGTGAAAGTACACAGACAGACATACAGAGCTATTTTCGCATTTATAATATATAAGTATGGATATTATTAATTTACACAGGTTTTATACAATAATATAAAGAGTGATTTGCACTTAACCACTAAGCCTTAGTTGCGTACAAATATATTTTCTAAGTCATTTATTCAAAACGTTGACAATCAAAAGAGAGCCTAAGTTGTGGATTCAATGTATACCCTAGATGTCTCGAATTGTCCCCCAATACGGTTCAGTACTGACTTTTAATAGCTCATGTAAATTCACTGAATGGACTTTAAAATAAGTCGCATTACGATTTATAGTTCGCTATCTCTTTTATATCTCAGTAGGGAGAGAAATAGTGTGCTTTCGTTTCCCATTTAAATTTTACCCGTTTTATATATTATGGCAATGTAATAAATATATTTTGTCTAAATATATGTATGGTTCATACAAAAAGCTTCTGGAATCAAACTGGTAACACTCGATGTAGTAGACGGTGTCAGTTAAATGTAATCATTGCTCAGAGATCTCGCTAAACCTACGTTCAATATAACAATTTACCGAATTACTATTAAAAGAAAATATATATACATAGACTAGACTACGAAGATTTTTGTAGGACGTAAGAACATTACATCACAATAATATCGCTTCTTTATACTTCAAGCATTAATCCATCAAATAATTGTGTAAATTAAAAGTGCAGGGCAAAAATATCGACAGTCAGGAAATTAAATGGTTTGAAAGATAGGTTTAAGTTATAAAATAAGCCATGTGACAATGTTAATTTACTTAGTTTGTTTAAATATTAAAAATGTTACTCTCATATTTTTTTCCAAACCTGCCCGAAGTATAACTTCAAAACGTATAATGAATAAAACTATTTTTTTGGATTTTTTTGATTTTCAACCGACTTCAAAAAGGAGGAGGTTCTCAATTCGACTGTATGTTTTTCAACCGAATTCAAAAAGGAGGAGGTTCTCAATTCGACTGTATGTTTTTTTTTATTTTTTTTTATTTATTTTTTTTATTTTTTTTTTATGTTTGTTACCTCAGAACTCCGTCATTTATAAACCGATTTGGACAATTTTTGTTTTGTTTGAAAGGGTATACTTCCAGATTGGTCCCATTTAAATTTCAAAAAAAATACCACCCCTAAGGGTGGAAAAACAACTAATAATGAATTTAACCTACTTCTAATTGTCATATTGACTTGAAACTTTGCAAGTATTTCTATTTTCGTTTATAGTACAGTGGTTCGGTGTTGTTGACCTGATCTGATGGCAAGGCCAGAAGGTGGATAGGTGGAACTCTTCAACGGCTAATAGTAGATACTTTGAGTTTGGGCTTATTTTGTTTGATTTGACAAGCCTAACACGTTAGAATCCTTACTTTGCTACTACTGTCTACACTAAAAAGGGAAAA